TCATATTTGGCAAGCATTTGTCTCTGTCAGTGTTAATCATTTAGTAAGTATTTTTCTGTCAGTCTTGATTACAGGGATACACAACCTTTGCCAAACCAACTAACTCTGCATGTCCGTCACCATACCTATTATTATATTTTATGATCATGCTGTGTTAAGAAATACAAAAATTCTCATCCCTGAAGATAACAAAGTTCATGCATAATGACTCTAAAATATTATAAAGGATTTTGTATTTATGTATAAGAATAAATCGGTCATACAAAGATGGTAAATCGGTTAGGGAAATAACATATCCTTTATCTGTCACCAACATCAAACCTGTAAATCTTCATCAACCCCGTCTTATTTAGTTCAAGTCTGTTTACATATTTCTTTTCCTTTACCAGAGAAGCTGCCCATCTTTGCATGCTTAAGCAAATATTATCTCTACAAATTAATGCAGCCATTTCACATGACCTCACCACTTTCTCATGACACCTCCATGGTTCAAGAGCTCCATCTCCATCACATGAGCATTCCTGTAACCATTGATAAAATGTTTTCTGTCATGCCATCAAGGCCTATTCCTGTTAAACCAGGTGACAGTTTATACCTGTCCAATCTCGATGACATGATTGGAGCTCGTGTTTTTACACCTACTGTGTATTTTTATCAATTAGACAACACGAGTTCTTCCCAAAAACCAGTCACAAAAATACTACAATGTGCTCTCGCTGATGTTTTAGTGCCTTATTACCCCCTCTCAGGCCGACTCAGAGAGACCAGTAATGGTAAACTGGAAGTGTTTTTTGGACCTGACCAAGGAGCACTCATCGTTGAGGCACGATCTGATATTGCCTTAACTGAATTAGGAGACCTCACAGCTCCAAACCCAGCTTGGGAACCTTTGATCTTCAAGTTTCCCAATGAAGAACAATACAAAGTCCTTGAAATGCCACTAGTCATTGCTCAGGTTACCCTTTTTCGCTGTGGTGGCTTTAGCCTTGGTTTGAGGCTGTGCCATTGTATCTGTGATGGCATGGGAGCTATGCAGTTCCTAGGTGCATGGGCTGCCACTGCAAGAACAGGGATGCTGGTTATAGACCCTGTGCCCTGTTGGGACAGGGAAATTTTCAGGCCACGTGACCCACCAGTGGTTAAATTTCCCCACATGGAGTTTATGAGAATTGAAGAGGGCTCCAACCTGACAATGAAACTATGGAAAACCAAGCCGGTTCAGAAGTGTTACAGGATCAAACGCGAGTTCCAGAATCGCGTGAAAGCTCTTGCTCAGCCATATGATGCTGCTGGTTGCACCACTTTTGATGCTATGGCAGCACATATTTGGAGATCCTGGGTGAAAGCTCTTGATGTAAGGCCTCTAGATTACCAGCTTAGGTTAACATTTTCGGTCAATGCTCGTCACAAGCTTAGAAACCCACCACTGAAAGAAGGGTTTTATGGCAATGTGGTGTGTGTTGCGTGCACATCAAGCACTGTCTCTGAGCTGGTGCATGGACAGCTCCCAGAAACAACCCTTTTGGTTCGAGAGGCCAGACAGAGTGTCTCAGAGGAGTATTTGAGATCCACAGTGGATTATGTTGAAGTGGATAGGCCAAGGCAACTTGAGTTTGGTGGTAAACTGACAATAACTCAATGGACTAGGTTCTCAATATACAAGTGTGCAGATTTTGGGTGGGGTAGGCCACTCTATGCTGGTCCTATAGATTTAACTCCCACCCCTCAAGTTTGTGTGTTTCTACCTGAAGGGGAGGCTGATTGTAATGATGGTTCTGTGATCGTCTGCATATGCTTGCCAGAGTCTGCTGCTCAAAAGTTCACACAAGCTTTGCTGCTCGATTCAGATTTGTGACAAACCTCTCTCCGTTATTCAACTCATCATCTACTTTATCTTCCTACTGGATTTAGTTTATCATGCTCTCAATAATTCATTTTCATAATTTTATATTCGCATGTGTAAGCAGTCTGATACTGTTGCCATGTCACATTATATGTAATCAGATTAAATGTGTACGTATTACACGGGTGTCTTATCTATGACAATAAAAAAGATAATTTTTTTTTAAATATAAATATTATTTTATTATTTTTATCTTGAGATATAAAATTCTTATTTATGATATGTTTGAAAATAAATAAATTTTAAATCTTTCAAAATTAATATAAAAAATAAATTATACATGTAAATTATAAGAAATTTTAATAAAATTACAATGTTAAAAGTAAAGTTGTAGTTAAAAAAAAACCTATTTATATCAAATAATAAATATAATACTAAATTAAAGTTTGTATTTAAAAAATAAAAATCTTTTATTTTTGTAAATAATAATATCGTTTTATTTATAAAACTCTTACTTAATTTTTTAGTAATAAAAAAATATTGTTTTAAGAAATTAATTATAATGAGTATTTTAATAATTGTGATTTTTTTTCATTTATCATATATATCATTTGAGTTTGTTTTGATTATAAATAATATCTAGATTAATAAAATTCATCTCTAAAATTTCACTTTGACTTTGTTTCACGTATGTTTATATATATAATATACAAATTGGGATAGACATAGAAATCTTCTAAGTTTAGAATATAAAAATATTAAAGATGAAGGAGATTTATGTCAGGAGTTGTTTTTTCTAGATTACTAAAGAAGAACCTAGTTGGCATTAAAAAAAAGTTAGAAAAGATAAAGAAAAAGAAATTAGAAAAAAACTATGAAAATGTAAAAGAAGAATTACAAAAAGATGACTAGAATATAAGAAGAAAGAATTAAGTCTTTCTCAAAATTTACTTGTCAATAAAAATATATAATTTCTTTGTTTAGGATAAAATTTTAAGATACTTAAAAAAAATAATAGAAACTATTTTCAGACACAAGGCTTGTGAAAAAAAAAATCTTGATTGATTAGATACTACCGTCACCTAGATAAGGTTAACCTTTTTCATCTTTCACACCTAAAATAAGTGTATTTGTAGTTCTATGTATCATAAATTTGATTGAAAGTTTTACATTGATTGGATTAGTAACTTTGGCAATGATTCTAAACTTATTGTTTGAATTATCTATTCATTTATCTAGTATTTTTTTTATTTGTCTTTTGATTCTTAGTTTTGTCACTTATTACTCTCTTTGGTTAAGCATTTCTTTATTTTTATCCTTTCTAGTTTGTCTTCCTTAAAGCTATATAGTTTTGTCTTATTAGTTTTCATTTATAAGTGTCTTTACTAATTATTTCATTTTTCACTTGAATTGAATAAGTTAAGAATTTAGGTTTTATGAAACTACTTCGGGTGATTTAAATGGAGGGTGGTCCTACCTATTTTACCACATTTTGGCCGAAAGAAACTTGTGAGAAGAGTGCATTTAATTTTTGTGCTTTTTAACTTTTTTTTTTTTCTTGTGTAGTTGTTGGTTTTGCTAACACTTGTAGGGGAAGATGACCAGCCTAACAACAACATTTATATCTCCTAAGCATGCATAATTATATGCTAAAGTTGAAGAGGTGGGAAAGATGGTAAGTCAAACACAAAATATCATGCAAACACATGAAAGAAGATTGGGTAGAAGGTCTAAAACTCATCGTGTGAAAGTGATGAATCCTATGGACATGAACGTATTGCCTTTAGAGCAAGAAGAGGAGTTGAGGCAGAGGCTATCTAAAAGCAATATAAAAATTCTTAAATTTGTCGGAAATAGTGATCTAAGTTATATTTTGAACGGGCCATGGTAGAGTATATTAACATATATGCTTTTGAGGATATTACAAAAGTTAAACTTAATAAACTTTAGTTTGAAAAATATGTTTTGATATGGTAAAATCAAGTAGAAAAATAAATATTAGTGGTTGGAGGTTTTACCACATGACATGACCTTGAAGTGTGCATAAGAGAAAAATAGAAAGAATATTTTAAAATCATTATATTAGTTATTTGTTAAATTGATATAATATGATACTTTATAAATATTCTACAATCATAAAATCATTACCGTCTAATTTATTATAAAATTGATATAATATGTACTTAAATTTATGAGCTTAATTTAATATTTTAAATTTCCTTTTGCGATTGGTGTGTACTAAGATACAATTATTATTGTTCTTTTTTAAAAATGAAGTTGATAGATATGTACTACTTTAGAAACATTTCATCTCCCTCACTCAGATGATCAAACTTCTCCAGACACATTTCATTTCCATCGTATATAAATTTTAGTTTTAACAAATAAATCCCTATCCTTTTAAATATAAAAACAAACTTAAAAAATAATAATAAATAGGAATCCTGTATATATAAAAATGTTAATTTTTCATAATAAAATAATTTATTTTTTTACAAAAACAAATAATTTCTTTTGGGCCCTTCCATTCATGGCCACTGCCACAGCACCTCTAAATCACCCTTGGTAGCCATGCTCTCACGTGCTTTGCTTTAGCACATAATCACATTCTTTTCAGCTTTGTATTAACCATTGATAAAAGAATATGTTACATATGTTGGTATCATTTCTCCTGCAAAATATTAACAAGTCATGATAAACTACAAAGTAAATGAACTTGCCAGAGACAAGCATTGTAAAGAAGATATGGGATAGCACCACCAAAAACTAATGGTTAATAATTTACAGCTTGATATTGAGAACAGAAACAACACGAAGCCTCAATTTCTGCCAAAGAAAAAAGGCAATCAACAAAACCTCGTCATTTAACATCAAGAGGACTTTTCACCCACATTTGCCAACAGTTATACAGCACTCCGGCTGTGCTTGAAGTGTTTGATCAACATAAATTACGGTCACTGCTCATCTGTGCATTTGAAGATAAAAATCAGCAAATAAGTGACTTGAAAGGCTTTTAGCATGTGCACCAAAGAACTTACCCCACATGACTTTATCATGAATCAGAGAACTTCTCTCAATCCGATGGAAGTAGACCAGGAATTAATTTGTCCTTCAGAAGCACAACAAAGATCCAATATACAGTTTCATGTTTTTCAGGTCACCGGGGTGATGTAGAAGACACAACCGCAATTTGTATGAGGGGACGCCCGGGGAGTTTTGGTGACTCCGGATTTCCTTGAAGAAGGGATGCCCTCTCAGGATTTGAAAGCATTAGTTGCTGCATATCCTTTGAAAGCACGTGGAAAACAGCCTGAAGGTCTACCTTTAGTTTCTGACAGGTTGCGATGGAATCAAGACCACTCTTTCCAGATTGCTGCAGCTGATAAATTGAATTTACGTTAAATACACGCTGAATATGGTTTTTACAGCATAAATAGGAGTGTAATGCCCTGTAGCACATTAAGCAAAAAATACTTGCGCCCTACCTTGCACATAGTATACTACAAAAGGGCCACTGAGCATTAATTGTAGTTTGTTCAAAAAATTATGATTGTGCGATGCAAACATGCAAAAAGTAGTAGATACGGTATAAAATTTCACCCCAATGGGCCAAGACCCAGGCAGGTCACTAGTTGTCATTCAGAGAATGGTTTTGTTATTGTCTTTCTATTGTTCCTTTCATAGGATTGTAATGTGCACCAGCACTATACATCTATCAATTTACATGAAATAAGTCTCGCGAAGTTATTTCTATTTTACTTTCTTCAAATTTTATTTCCTTGGAGATAGGTCCTCGTTTCAAATTCAGGATTATTTTTGTACCTCTATAAAATCCCCTATTATTTTGGTGTTTTCATGATTGACACGCATGATCAGACTTAAGCACAAACCATTGCTCGTCTTGAGGAAGCTATTACAAGTTTGCCCATCTCTCACACAGTCCTATCCGACAACTAGAGCTACCTCATTTCAAACTTGATGACATTCTACAACGTCTCTCCCTCTTGGAACCCAATTGCCGTGGTACTGATTCTACCTCCAATCCCACCTCACCTTCCCCCAAATGGTTTTTCCCTCACAAATGAGGTTCCTCACTTTATTGGCTCAAACATCATGGGATGGATCTTCAAGATTTCCCAATTTTTCTATTACCACCGGTTTCTTGATGATAAATGTCTCCAAATTGCTTCCTTCTTCTATATGGATGGCCCTACCCTTGCTGCTACTTATTTAAATTTTCACTGTCCCTCATTTCCAATTTTTGGATGATCTTCATGTGCCTATCGGCCTCTCCACAATACCAGTGCATGATCTAGACCCTCCAACCCTCTCCACTTTCATATCCCCATTATCATGTCTTTAATGAACTTTTGTTCTACAAGGACAAAATATGGGTGAATCAGGGGAACTCTTTCATTCCTCTTTTGTTGGAGGAATTCTATAAATCTCCTTTGGGTGACCGTATGGGACTCATCAAGACTCTTTGCCGCCTTAGAGGCAACTTCTATTGGTCTGGTATGCAACAGGCATTGCTATTTACATTAAACAATGCAATGATTGTCAGCACACTAAATATGTTCCCCAAAAATCTGCGGGTTGGTTTCAGCAAATACCTCTTCTTTCTGGACCTTGGGAGGACTTGTCCCTCAATTTTATCACCAGACTTCCACTTTAATACGAATCTTCTTTCATTTTAGTAATGGTGAATATTTTCTCCAAGAGAACCCATTTTGGTTTTCTTCCAACACACTTTACTACAAGTGGCACAACTTTTCCTAGACATGGTGCGTAAACTACATGGCATATCTAGTTGATTTCTAATAGAGGTCCCATTTTCCTAAGTAAATTTTGGTAGAAACTTTTCATTCTGATTCTTACCAAGTTGCAAATGAGTATTACCTATTACCCACAAAGTGATGGACAAAGTGAGGTTTTGAACAATATTTACATTCATTTGTCCATGATAAACTACATGCTTGGGGAAAATTTCTTAGTCTAGCCGAATGGTGCTACAACACCCACTACATTTTGCTACTGTCACAAGTCCCTTCCAAGTTACTTGTTGGAAACCCCAGCTGCTATTCCTCATTATTTATCAGGTTCCTCTATAGTGGAGGCAATGTACTCTTTCCTCATTTTTACCACCATGTTCAATACCCTCCTTCATAAATTGGTCAAAGCTCAAGCGAGCATGAAACACTTCTCCTGCCAATTCGTGTTAGTGAAATGGATTGGCCTTCTCCTAAACAAGCTACCTAGGAGGAATAGGCTTTTGTCTACAAAGCTACCTTGAGGACAAGGTGTTTTCCCAAGCAGTGGGGAATGATAGTACCCCTGACCCTATAGCAGAATATGGGTCTAACCAAGTGAGTTACTACACAACCAACCCGATGTAATGATTACATTCACTAAAATGATAGATTTTGTAAGATTTGTTGTTGAGCTGTGCAAGAGCATTATAAATCTATAAATATGCATGGAAAGACACGAGAAGTTATTTCCTATTTTATTCCCTTGGAGGTAGGTCCCAGCCTCAAATTCAAAATTATTTTTGTACCTCTGTAAACTTCCCTTATCAAAGGTTCATGGTATCCAACACACTATCACTCTCTTATGAACAAACTGCACTAATTACACAATCACAGAGAAAAATATATGTCCACAATGTCCAGAAAGAAAAAAGTTTAGAGCAAAGCATTGGACAACTATGAAGCATTTTGTGTCCTTCATGCTTAGAACATCTAAAGTTTAAACAAGTCTTGGTCTCATATTTCATCTCCTCTTCCACATTGCCTCCTAAAAAGAACATAATATTTTCTAATCAAACTATTATTGTCAAAGTGCAAAATATTTTCTAATCAAACATTCTGAGCACAATTTACTGCTAATTATTATATTAGCAAACTGGAAAACCTGGAGATATTAATTAGCATATTCACATATGAATAATATCCGAAATGAGAAAGACTTGTAATTGCATCGTTCTAAAAGGTTAAGTGAACTAAATAACTTTAGCGTTGCACATTACTAACCAGTAAATTCTTTATCTTTCCACTTCACTAAGTTCATGCCCATAATCTTAGAGCCTGAATGCCTTTTAATAGTTTAACTAGTATATGCATGCGCAAGTATACATCATATACAGATTATTGATCATGAACTTCTAAGGCTCGTTTAAGTTTAAGCACAAATTATTAGTTTAATTGAAACCTGGTTCCATGGTAGATTCTAACTTAACAAGCTTGAGCATGATAGTGTTCATCTGAGGATGCTCATTTATGTTCCTACCTCTAATCAAGCCAAATTGGAAATAAAAGTAGCCAAATTTGATTCTTAAATTTATGGGAAACCTACTCACAAACACTAACAGTTAAGGGAAGAACCAAACACTTAAACACTCTCGGCAGAAGGAACAATCTGGAGAGAAAATGTAATGTCAACAAGAAAATTCAAGGGTATTTTCTCTTAACAGGACATCTATGTATCAAATAGCCAAAGTACTAGATAATATTTGGATATTACAAGCTACATCAAATAAAAATGTCATAATAATTGGCGAAACCTCCTTAATTGCAGTCATGTGATGGTTTCTGTTAGTAGCTTAAGTGGCCTCAGTGTTGAAAACTACTGCACATTTGTTCTTGGAATGTCCGAGAGCTAAGTTTTTTTGGGAGCTGGATGAAAGCTTCCATTTCATGCGACATTGAATTGTTTTGGTTCATTTGGAATATCTGGAACAGTTTGAGATTCAGCAATAAGGAGCTTTCCATCTTTCAAGCAATTTCTATGATTAAATCCATTACTGCTCTAGCAATTCTTTGTCTAAAGGATCTATGCACATTCCATGGAGGAGTTTAACGTCCTAAAGGTTTTTCAAATCACCTGCCATCCTATAAAGGCAACAAATATTATTCACTTTGATTGGCTGCCTATCTCAGCATATGTCAAATGTAACAGGGACGGGCCTCCATGTGGATGTCCAGGATATATTTCTAGTGCTGGTATCAGGGGAAGCATAGGGGAATTTATGCGAGGTCTTATGTCTTTTATTGGTATGTCTAGTGTGCTTTAAGCTGAAATTAAGGCGGCTATTCTGGCAATGAGTTGGACTAAACTTTGGTTGGAATGTGATTCCAAATTGGTTATTGAAGCTTTTAAAATTGTGTCTATTGTGTGTAGTTCATCGTTCCTCTTCTATGGAAGGTAGAATAAACATGCTACAAATGAGATGTTGTTCAGGTTCCAACACGCTCCCTCCAACGAAGTTTAGTAGGTTAGACAAAGGGTATTTTAAGGGCAACTTTTGGCCCAAGACAATAACAAAGGGTACTTTTGATCCACAACAAAATAACAACATTTTAGCCCAAGACAATAACTAGAAATAAGTTAGACTTTGACTCCGATACCATGTTAAGGTTCCAAAATAAAATCAATTGACAATATATAGAATAGCCTAACAGATATTTAAACTATATCATATGGCACGAGGCAGGCGATGGGAGATTTCCTACAAGTGTGAATGTTCTTGGGATGTTATTAAACCACAGTGATGCTTAAAATGTTTATAATTTATTAAAAACAATAAAATAAGAAGAGCAAAACCATATATACATTTTGGTTACACATTTCACTATAATTATATCAATTGTTTACATCATAGCTATATGATACTCAGAACTGTGATAAAAAACATAATTCCATAATGGTCAATTTGGATGAGGGAAGGAAAAAAATAGAGGAGAAAACACACGAATAATAATGTGCTTTCTTTTGCTTTGTAGAAGAGAAATCGTTACCTTATTAAAAAAAAATCAATATTGATATTTTCTTCTGTTTCTCAACAATTACAATTTCAAAATTCTCTTCTTAAGTCTATATACAAGATTATTCTAGGAAAATTCATAATTCAGATAGTGTCCCGAGGTTATAAATATATTACAGAAATTAGCCCAAATTAGTTCTTGGAATACTTAAATACTTGCGCATCCACACAAGAAAATATCAATGAAAAATAAATTCTCTGCTCTGAGGGTAGATCAATATTTTTATTGTCATCATGAAACCTAAAAATAAAATGGGGAGAGCACGGCAGATCACACACACAGCTATCATACCCTTCTATCTGAACTTGAATGAGTTTTATTGATTACCGTAGTGGCAAGGAAGTGAAGGGATGCCATTAAGGAGAACTGGAATGTGGTTTAAGGAGAAAGAAAAACAATATAAAATAAGAGGTAGCAAGGAAGAAAGAGAAGGATTATGTAATGGGTGCGGTAACCGAAGAAGGCGAGAGGGAATTGGTATTAATATCGGCTAGGCTAAGTAAAACGGCTCGTTCTTTCTCGGGTAAGGGGTTACCTAGATCTTTTTCTTCTTATTTTGCATTGCAGTATTGTAACAGTAAGGGGTTATCTAGTTCTTTTTCTTATTTTCTTGGATTGCTGTATTGTAACAGAGATATATCTCTCTGATATACTTCCAATGTTCCAAACAGCTTGCCTTTGGGTTTGATCATTGTCTAGTTGGACAAAACAACAGATAAATAAATAATAAATAAAAAAGTCCCCGTAAAATAATATTCATTACCCAGGATGTACTATGATACATATTAAGTCCTTTGCAAATGAGAATAATGAAAACATAATCACATAATTGATCCGTATATTACATTGAAAACAATAACTAATCAAACATATACAGAAATAGTAAGTTTTATTCATGTTGGACAAAGACAAAGGTTTGGTCAATCAACAGTATAAAATATTTGAGGTTAGGAAAGCAGATTACCTGTATTTCTCTGAGTAGAAGTCTCTCTATAACATTGAAGGAATCTACAATTTCCAATTCAGACAGTCTAGACATAAGCTGTTGGATGTCAGTTTTTATTCTGGCTTGCCTCCATAATCTATCTTGTTCTTGTTCAGCAACAGCACGCCTTCTCTTAAACCATGGCATAAAGTTGGGTCCATTTAGGAATCGACTGATGAGAGCATATAACCAAATCGTAAGAAGATATAAATCTAATAAGAACTGCAAATTCCACTCAAGGTCATAATTCGTAATGTAAATACTATATTACAGAGAGGTTTGTAGCAAATGATAGTACATCATTAATAAATAGTGCAAACAAGATTATTACCTGTATAAGTCAAGCCAATTAGATCTCATTCGCTTTAACATAAACTTCCCTGGACCTCTTGCTGCTAGACTTGCAAGAAATTCATCAGCATTGAATGAAGGTAGAGAAGGAGGATCTACATAAGGAGAAGATCCTTCTGATGGTGTTGATATCCTAAAATATGGGCTAAAAGGAGCCAAAAAGTTTGTAGTGAGCTCCAAGAAGTGTCTCCGTAATATCTCATTGTTCACAACAGACATTGACTCCTCAACTCTTGGTGACAACCCAGCATCTATAAGCCTATTTAAGATAGAAGTATCTGGCTTAGTTGCAGCAGAATAGGTACTCCAAATGGCTTCCTTATGTTCTGTCATGAGACAAAGAGGACCATCTCTCCGCAGCCTAACTGCACTCAAAAAATTTGAAGGAGAAAACTTCTTTAGGGAAAGTTGTTGAAACCCAAGACCTTCTGGTCTGCCAGAAACTCTGCCAGCAGAAGACCTACTTGTAAGGGAAAGCCTATTTGAATTAGGAGGAGGACTTCCAACTGAGACAATGTGCGGGATGTTACGCAGAGCTTTGAGGAAGAAAAGGTTTGTCACTCCTAAAATCATTGGGGGGAAAGCTTCACCTTCTTGGATTGAGTTTAAGCGTGCAAAGATCGGATCATGAATGGTAAAATAAGGCCGGAAATCAACACTGCAAAGTAATGGAGCAACCAAACTCACAAGACTAGCTACGGCCTCACAACACTGGGGAGGTGTGGGGGCAATGATGAGCACAGGTTCACCAATGAGCAACAACTCCCACAACACCCAAAGCTGCAATAGAATCCCTCGGAACGAACCAAAAAGATCTGAATCATGAAAAAGACCTTGTGGGAAAGGCTGATTATTAGGAACAAAAGGTGCCACAGAAGAAGCCACCTCTTCACAAAATACTCCACTTTCTACAGGCAAACTCAGAGCAGGTGGCAAATTCACTTTAAGGGATGCATTTCCGATAGGAAGATCCATCACCTTGCCAGGAACAGGAGCAGGCCATTTTGAAACATAAGCAGCAATATGCTCCAATGCTTTCTTACCAATATCAAAAAACAACGGGCCTACAATTTGCAACAAAGGTCTAAAAACACTTGAATAAGGATTATAAGACAAAATGACGACAGACTTCTGCTCCCCACCTCGCTTTAACCGTTCATCGTGTCTCTGCCTATTAAACACATAACCATACAAGAATTTAGAAGCATTGCTACTATCAGCTACACCCTTTTCATCTAAGGACTTCTTAAGGATCCTACGTATTCGGAAAAAGAATATACAATCGTGAATGCTAGATCGGTTCTGGTGCTGCGAAACGGAATCAGGAAAGGAGCTATAAGCAATTTCAAGCTCTTCGTTGTTGGAAAGACAACCCTGTGGATAACACTCTTCTACAAGTTGGCCTTGTTCAAGATCAAACCTTATAGCACAAAAGGCAACAACCCATCGTTGCAATGATTCTGAATCAACACTCGGACTCACTTCTGTTCTCACTGAAAACGAAGGAGACCTGCTCATATCTTCCACAAAAATAACACAAAATTGTACACACCAAACTCAGTTTCCTGCTACAAAACCAGCATCATCAAATTCATCGCTCAACCCGGCTTAATTTCTTAGAGAGACCCAAATGAAAAGGTTGAAATTTGAGAATTGCGTTTTATTCTCTGATGCTAAAAGCGCAATAATTATACTACACCTAGGGATAACCCTGCTTAACTACTTTTCCTGTAACACTGGGTAGCAGATTAGAGAACCAAAAAGGCTTGTGCAAGATCCAGGATGAAGAAAACTAAACGAAAATCAGATAATTAATTAATTGATGAAGATCTGGAAAATGGGTACCTGAAAATGTGGAGGTGTGCCCCCAAATCCAAATGGAGGAATTGTATGACTGGTGTAGGAAGGGAAGGGTATTGCAAATGGATGAAGAGGAAATTATGGTATTTTGGGAATTAAAAGAAATAGAATTAGTTGGATTTACAGAAAGGGTATGTCTGCTTCAAACTTTCAATTCCAAATCCAAGCTGCCTTTTGTTGGAAAAGCAAGTAGCTAAAATTTTGGTAACATTTTTACTTTTACAAAAGAAATTTTAAAAACTAATCTTATATTATTATTTAATATTAATTTCTTACAAAACATTTTTCTATAAAATTAATTTGAATTAAACGTGGTCTTAATTATATTTCTAAAACTTTATATTCGTCTTAAATATCATATTCACAATGTACATAAAAAATTAATAAAATATATAATTTTAAAATATAAGAAAATTATAATTTATTAATTATTTTCTTGTTATTATAATGTCTTAAAATATTTATGAATTATGTTTTGTAAATTATTATATAATCGTGTCACGTCTTGCATTTAAATCTCCATGCCTTAATTATATACTAATAATATTTTTTAATTAGAGAAAAACAACTTTGAGATATGAAGATCTATAACAAGTAATCACAATTAAGTATGTTTTATGTATAGATGCTTAAAAAATCAAATTTCAATTAACATATTCTCACTCAACCAAAATAAACAAGTTTGTTGATTTTTTGTTTTTGTTTTTAAAAAAAACTAAATAGCCATGACAAGTTAATTAAATTGAAATTATATTAATAATATTAATGGTTAAATCAGGATATTATATATATATATATATATATGTGGCTAAATATTTTTATTTTACTATCTTTCATTTTTAATTTTTAGTTTATTTTTTTATTAATATTTTAGTGTCAATTTAGTCTCTATTTTTTTTTTTTTCAAAATGAATCACCGTGGATTCAAAATAAATTTTCTAGTAGAAACCACTGCATATGTGAATGTATTAGCTTTATCATGATACATGACATCAACATCTCAATGTCTAGTTAACCGTATATCGATGTAGCATTGATGTAAGAGAATCACACAATCATGGGTTTTGTTGCTAATATAGTTTGTATTTATTGTGATTTTTAGATATATTTATAACATGTTTATAGGATAAAGTATTTGCAACAAATATATTTAATCATAATATGGTTAGTTTATTAAAAAATTAGTATAATTTGTTTACAAGATTACTTTATCATATGTGAAAATATGATTTCAATTTGATATTGTTTTTTATTTATAGGTTATTTATGACTTGTACGTCGAAATGAAGAGTTTACTCATTATATAGTGAAAGAAGTATTAGCACATACCACTCATGCATTTGAAGAATTGAAAATTTGTACAGATATATTGTGTGGAATTATTGCTTAGAATCAATTGTTGAATGCCCTAACCAAACAACAAGAATGAACAATTAAAAAACTAGAGGAGGATGTAATACAATTACAAGAATTGTTAGATGAAGCAAAACTATCAACAAAAGAGGTAAATCCTCCATCAGCTGGGATGTACTTTTCTCATGTATTTGAAGGTAGTAGTATTAAGGAGATGAAACATCATACTGAAGTAATACAAGAATCAAAATTGCATTGTGAAGGGTCAAATATACAGTGGCGGATCTTCTTGGGAGCTGAGGGGGTCATGGCCTCCCCCAAAGTTTTGTAACTTCCATGTAATTTATGATTTTGGCTCCCCCAAACATAATGAATATTTAATATATTTACTTGTATATTTACAATTTTATCTTTACAGACCCCTCGGCTTTGTAATTCTCATGTAATTTATGGTTTTGTTTCCCTCAAACTTAATGATCATTTAATATATTTAAGTATATATCTACAATTTTATCTTTTCACTTTTTCATATTCTTTCTTCCTTTTATATTTATTTATTATTTATTAATAATATATTATTTTGCCCCCCCCAAGACCAATAGTCAAGATCCACCACTGCAAATATGTATACTTGACTTAATGCTCATCCAAGAATACGGTATATAAGTTTTATGGTCAAAACACCGTGGACGATTAATTCAAGGAAAAGAAAAAAGGCAACATTAGTGTTGTGTAGATGAATTATTTTGTTAGGTTTTCTTCTTTTGTCCTAAGAAACATATTAATTTATATTTGATATTTTCATTCTACACCTATATCATGTAAGTTTTGTGGTCTGTGATAATGTGATATTGTACATTACTCTTTATCTCATAGTGATAGCATTAGATCTTCCTCCAATGTGTTGTTTGGCTAATCGTGTATGTTTATGTTCAGCTAATAATATATAGTAAAGTGGTTAAGCATATGTCATTTACAGTTAAGCATATAATGTGGGCTATATAAACTTAGCATATGATTAACACAAAATGTCCTATTCAGTTAAACACATAAAGTTGAGGTGCTCACCACATATATGGTTAAGCCAAGAGTAAAACATGACTAAATGTTTATCACAGTTAACCACATAATCTGAATGAGGTAACCATATACGTTGCATATAAAAAAAATTGGTCATTGACAGTTAATCATATATGTTGGACTCAATAAAATTAGCATCTGCATACATGAAACTGCCATGTTCAGTTAAACAGATAAACTTGACACTAGTGCAAAAAGGGGCTTTTACGTCAGGTATTTAGGGCTTTTTACGTCGTATTTAAGTCCGACGTTAAAGCGGGAGACGTAAATTTACGACGGACCCTTTTGCCCGACGTAGATTTACGTCAGTTATCAAGATCCGACGTAGATTTACAATAAACAGACGTAAAAACCTTTTCAATTTTAAAAAAAAAACAGAAAATTTACGTCGTATATGGTATACGCGACGTAAATTTACGTCGCATATACCAATACGCGACGTAAATTTACGTCGCATATTGGTATATGCGACATAAATTTACTGTTTTTTTTTAATTGGGTTTATTTATTCTGTTTTACAACTAAAACCTGCAAATAGTAATCCAGACAGATCCAGAGGTTCAGCTTTTCTTTAGCTAGTAAATTAAAAATATAATATTATATAATTCAAACTACATAATAAAACAATATAATACAAACATACAAACTAAAAAATCTATTACAAACTAAGCTACCTATACAAACTAAGCTACCTATACAAACTAAGCTAAACTACATAATACACACAATATAATATAAACAAGAACTTAAAAAATAATGTACTAGAATTGTTGAACAAAAAATTTTGCCCATTGTTCTCTAATTTCGTAATCTCGATTCTCGTAATGGAGATGGATCTTGAAATACCCGAAACATGAATTTGACTCTTGTAAGCATGCAACATGAATAAAGTTAAATAAACTTAACTAATGTTAAAAGTAATTACCTCCAGTCCAAGAATCAATTAAACCCGCACAAACTATGGCTCTCATCCAATACATTACATAATAACCACATTCAAACGAGTCAGTTTGCTTATTACACTGAAATGATGAAAAAAACATAATATTATTTTCAAAATTGAAATACAAACAATAATTATGGTATTCACTTATATAAATAAGTTTCTAACCTTAGGATAAATGAACTGCAAAGTCTTTGTTCTAGGTTTTCCACTTAGAACATTAGTTCCGATACACGATTCTAAGTGAAAAAAGTCATATATTATTCAATATGTATTCACAATTTAAAAACATAATTAATGAATAAAAGATAAAGTTACCCTTGTAATAAGCTTTTCATTTCTTGACTCGGTTTCCGATGTAATGAACAAAACCACACCACAGTGTAATCCCGGGCATGATTACAATTAACCGCCAATGGGACCTACATTGTATGACATAAAAATTAGTTACAAAAATATAAATTAAAATACAAATTAAAATACTAACCCTTCAATGTATGGAGCCAAATATATATGTCTTCTTGAGTCACTCATCCATGTTTGCATATATTGTTGGATTCCAACCTTTGTATTTCCGGATTTTTGGATGGATTGAGGCTCAATAAATCCGTACACTTCGGATTTTTCTTGTTCCACACTCAAATTGTCAAGGTACCTAAAACAATTAATTATAAGTTGAATATAATTATTATAATCTTAGAAACATAAATGAAAATGACTTACATTGCCCACAATTGTATGATGGAAATGTTTAACATGCAATTTCCCCAGACAATTTCTAAAGCATTGGGCAAGGAAATGTACAATGGAACACCTGGAATTGTCAATTCCAAACACTCTAACATCCCATTGTATCCGACGAGGTCTCTTCCTCAACCGTGGTAATACTGGCTAACAACATAGAGATGGGATCATCATCACAATCTGTCAGATCCTCATCAATAATAGGTTGTTTTTTATGCTTTGCACGACGCAAGTCCTCCTAAACAAATGATAACAATTAATTAAACATTTATATAATTATAATACTAGAAAAGAGTAAATAGACAATATGTATATATATATATATATATATTACCTTGGTCTAGTCCTGATAAGTGGCATAACCAAACGTCTTGGCCAAGCCAAGAATGTCCCGCTTGCCTCGCCCACTAATTGAATCTCTTCATTAGGAAAAGGCACTCGGAGCATTAGCATCATGAACTTCATCAACTACTACTCGTGTCCGAGCCTGGTCGTAGAGGGACACCATGGATGGTTAAGCCACCCTCAAAAACTCGAC